AGAGAAGGCAGGGGAACACTGGAACCCCAAATCACACGAAGGATCGGGAAGGGCTTTTCCTGTTCTAGGAAGGGGAACCCCCTCCTCCACTGTCAACAACTTTCTGTAAAACTCTCCCTTACAACTATCAGTGATGCAAGCCCCTCTCCTGGCTCCGCCCAGAACTAAGTAATGAGCAGGAATGATGGACAGAGCAGGAGAAGGAAAGCACCTCATTTCTCCCAGGAAACAAACAAAGTAATCATATAGATTCCCGGTCTTAACAATAGAAATGGAAAATTCGGCAAACCGATTTCCCAGAACTCACAAAGGAGCTATTTTGAAGGCCATGTCACCCATATCAGACACTAGAAAGGGACCAGATTGTAATTTTATCTCCTCTCATGTAGTAGGAGATGTGAATTCAGTCAGCTCACTAGAGATCTTAGGCAACGATGACTTCTGCAGCACAGTGACAGAAGTCACGGAATGGCCAGAATTAAAACAACATGGCCACTGTTCGTCACTGTTTTTAACACGTGGTCTTACCACATAGCCCAAGCTGAGCGCAAGTTTGCAATCGTCCTGCCTACACTGCCCCCAAGTGCTGGAATTACAGGCATGCATCATCATGCCCTGTGAGTTCAAGGCCAGCTTGGTCAACAGAGTGAGTTCTAGGACAGGTTCCAAAGCTACACAAAGAAACCGGTCTCAAAACAAAACAAAACAAAACAAACAAAAATTTTTATTAATATTTTATGTTTGTGCATATTTTTCTCTGCATGTATGTGTTGTACCGCGTGCATCAAGCGGCTGCATATGCCAGAAAGGGTACTGGGTCCCCTGGAACTGGAGTTGCAGACAGTTGCGAGCTGCCAGGTAGGTGTTGGGAACTGAACCCAGGTCCTCTGCAAGAACAGCTAGTGCTCTTTAACTGCTGAGCCATCTCTCCAGCCCCTAGGCATACTGTCCATGGCTCTTCCTCTCAATGACAGAAAGGGCATCCTGTAAGGAGGCCAGAGGAACATGACTGAGGGTGGTGGTGGTACCACAGCATGTGAGGACCACCCTGAGAAAAGATACTTCTTCCGGCAACCCCCAAAGAAAGCAGAGCTCCATCCCGTGAAACCTCAAGAGCAAGCATGTGGAAGGATTAACTCTGTGGAACCCAACAGGATCTTGCAAAAACAAGAGTGAAAATCTACAGTGCACCATCCTCATCTGGTGGGGGCAAAAAAGTTTTTAACGTGCATATTCACTCCCAACCAGCATTTACTGCAATGTTATCATATTGATGCTGTTTATGAATGTATGCATTCCCTTCCTGTACCTAGGGTCTGAGGTTGAGGCTGGGGACTGAAAGTCTTTGTGTCATCTTCCTAAATCTAGCATTAGAGCTACCACCTGCTATGTGTTCAGTAATGTTTATTGGGACAAATGAGTTCACTACAGCTACATGTTGCCGAAGGGGTTAGAGAGAAGCATGTTCTGTAACTGTAATCTGAGGAGCAGATCCCGAGATCATGGAAAACTAAGTGTAGACCAGCTTCCCCTGGAGACATGGCCATTCTCTGTACCTTCAAGGCCATCTTGGAATTTAGATAAAATTATTTGACAATTATTCCTAGTATTTGCCTTCAATATTAACTCGGACTGGTAGATACTAAGTTTGAAGGGTAGTAATTTTTACTTCCGAAGCTTCTGTATTCCATATAAGTATGTTTACTGTTGTGTGTATTAAGGAAATCTGATCCATGCAGTGGCTTTAACATCATTGCAGGTTTGACTCGGTTCCAAACTTTGTACTTACCTCCCCTTTTAGAGTGAATGCCACAGCTCTGTCTAGGAGTTTACTGAATCAAACTGGTGTTGTTAGCTCAGCAGGTTCAAACTACACCCACCCCAACCTGACTGGGGCTCACCTTGAACTAGAGACCCCCCTGGCCTAGTGAGGGCTCAAAGGTCTTGGACAAGGGGCCTCTGCCGTTACAAAGGTGGCATCAGCAAAGCCCTTGCCATCCCTCTTCCTGCAATGTCCTCAGCCTGTTCTGAGGACAGGCTGGTTCTGAGTTCTAAAAGGGACATCTCAGGGTTAGGGTTATGGCTTGGTAACACAGCATTTGCCTGGCACACACAAAGCCCTGGGTTCAATCCATCCTGCTGCCACAATCAAACTGCAGAGTGGTAGACACCAGTCTCCTGTTACTTTCTAAGCAGCCGTGTTTAGTTAATGCTCCTTGCTAGCATTTGAATGCAGTTCCTGGCCAGTGACCTCCTTCCAGCCGGCGTCTCTCCTGGGCTGTAACTGCATGAGGCAGGGACTGTGATTTACCCTTGCTACAGCCTTGTGTGTGCAGTCGGACTGGAGAGCAGTGTGCCATGGCTGGGCCACTGTGTGGCCGGATACCCTTAGTCCTCTCACCGGGACCTTGCTCATCAAGTTCTGCTAGGTAGTAGCTAAGTGACTTGGGCCATGTCACTTCAGTTCTCAAGAAAAAGTTTCCACTTACTGGCAGCGGCCCTGACAAAGGACTACTACATCATCCTTTCCTGAACATGGTGGTGCTCTGTGTATTTGGAAGATGCTACCAATTTTGGGGGGAAAAAAATATGTCATCAGAAAAGAGATGTGAGGCTACCAACAAAATAAAAACATAATTGTATTTTATAAAGAGAGGAAAAAACTTCATCGTGACCAACTGCCTGTCTCTTGCTGGGATAGACAACTGGCTCATTGACTGCCTTCCGGTGTCTTTCTCAAAGCAGTCAGAAGCAGGCTCTTGTTAAACGGGTGATAAGAAGCCATGTTATCTGGCACTTAACCAAACACAGGGTTCTAAAGGGAGAATTTCTGAGATTCCACCCAGACAAATCCCAAGGCTTAACTGGGATGAACAAGCAGCTAACCACAATCCAAGAGGAGATTGGTATTCAACAGAGAAGTTTCGAGGGATGAACTTATCTGTTCGGGGAACTTAATTTGTCTTTGTATAAGGAAGGCTTTGTCTCAAAAGGTTACTGTTTGCTGGGCAGTGGTGCATATCTGGAACGTATTTTATATATTACAGATGCAGTCCATAAATATAAAGGGGGCGCTGCCTTTTTCTCTTTATCCTTTCTTTAAATTTTGTCACACGTATGCACTTACTGTGTGTCTCTGTGTATGTGTGCATGTGAGTGTCTGTGTGTTTGCCTGGGTGTATGCACGAGGCACACATGTCATGGAGGCTAGAGAATACCTCTCAGGGGGCACCTGTCCTCTCCATCCACAGATGGGTACTGTAGATGAAACTCCGGTGGCCAGGCAGGGCAGTAAATGCCTTAACACTCAAGGCCCGGTGGTTTCCAACCTCTGCGTGAATTACGACCCCTTTGGGGCCTGCATATCTGAATATCAGATATTTACATTACAGTTAGCAGCAATGAAGTAATTTTAATGTTGGGGTCAGCACAGAGTGAGGAACTGTATTAAAGGTCACAGCATTAGAAAGGTTGAGAACCACTGGTCTAGGTCTTTTCACCAGGAAAAATTGCAATTGTGTGTGTGCAAGCATGCATTCACATGTGTACACACGCATGTGGAGGCCAGAGGTTGCCCCCAGGCGTTGCCATCCATCTTGGAGTTTTGACACAGGGTCTCTGGCTGGGACCTGAAGCTCACTCACTGATTCACAGCCTGGCTCTGGGGTTCCCACTATCTCCACTGCCCCAGCACAGGATTAAGAAGTATGTGTGATGTGTGATGACGTGACACCATCTGGCTTTTTGCATCAGTGCAGGCATGAACTGAGGCCCTCATGTTTGTGTGGCAAGCTTTTTACCAACAGAATTTAGGTCTCCTCTCCTTTTATGGGTTGTTGGGGACTGACTCCAGACAATGCTCTGCCACTGAGTAACACCCTGCAGGCAATGATAAACTTGGGTTTTACTCTGACTCTGACTGACTCTGTCTGCAAGATGCTCCACAAAAATCTCACTGACATCTGAAAGTCTCTTGTCTGATGGGAGTTTTAGTTTGGGTCTCCTTTCTATTTACTGATAACTATTCTTAACACATTTAACACTTCAAAAGAACCTTTGCCTTCAAGCACAGCCAGACTCTGAGGACAAACACCCAGGAGATACGAGAAGACTAAGCTAAGCTCTAAGTTTGCCAGAACATTGTATACACTCTCTGTGTCTGTGTCTCTCTGTGTCTGTGTCTCTGTGTCTCTGTCTCTCTCTCTCTCTCTCTCTCTCTCTCTCTCTCTCTCTCTCTCTCTCTCTCTCACACACACACACACACACACACACACACACACAGGGTAGAAGGAGGTTGCTGTGTAGCCAAACATGCTGTGAGTGATTTCACTTCCAAACAAGGAAGAAAGAGGGGCGATTCTCATTTTTGAATTTCAGTGGTGGCCGGGGAATGGCCGAGAAAAATCAAAAGATGCAGTGAGCTCAGGGGGAGACAAGGTGTCACCAGCTTAGGACAGAAACTGCCCAGAACCCTAATCTTTACTGCAATTTGAACCACGCCCTTTAGTATTTCTGGATTTTCCTTTTTCTGCACTATATGTGACCATCAACTTAGAGTATTTCTTAATATCTATGACCAGCTGTTGCCTGCTCACACTCTTTAGCATTGGTGATGAGTATATCTGATATTTAAGCAGAAATTTATATTTGCCTTCCATCCTACCACATGGCACACTGGAAAACCATTTTTATTTATTTAGTTAGTTAGTTACCGTTTGAATCATCACACAGACGTGACATTTATAAGCATAAGGAGATCATCCTAGCTGGTCAGACCCCAGTCTCATCCCCTCTGCACAATGCTACATTGTGACTGTATCCATTATTTTGACATAGCCGCCACCTCGGACACCCAAACAGGACACCCAAACACTCTTGTGAGAGTGTCCTCTCAGTAGACAACTCTTTTCTTTTTGCCCTGTGGTGGTCAAAGACAAAAGGGAAACATTCAAGCTGCAACCTTCAACCAAACCTGTTCGTCTTCATGGCGGGCAACTTACTTTTTCATTCCACGCCCACAGTCCAATTCCAAGAAATGTTATTCCCAAAAACTGAAAGAGAAAAGAGGGGACCAGGGTAAGTGTCTGTCAGGGAAACCCCGCCTTTTTCCTCATGAAAGTAAGCTTCCTTTTTTTATGTTTTCAAGACAGGGTTTCTGCCTGTAGCCTTGGCTGTCTTTGAATGAGCTCTGTAGACCAGGTTGGCCTCAACTTACACAGGTCCACCTGCCTCTGCCTCCCAAGTGCTGGGATTAAAGGCATTCGCCGCCACCACCCAGCAAAAGCAAGTTTTCAATTAATTGCTTTATTACATTACTTGCTCATTAGAAAAAAAAAAGGTTTATTTAAAACTAAGTTAATTAGGAAAATACCGTCATCTCCTTGCTTAAAATTACTATAACAGTTCAAATCATGAATTATAATCTTTAGGTAGAATCTTGAATGAAACAGAAATTTAGAGTAGAGGGGTGAGTGTGTTGGAAAATACGGGCCACTGTTCATTAGACATGGACATAAAGGGCATGCATTTAGAGATGCGCTGATCTCACCCACTGAACCATTATGAGTGGACCATAAGAGAGGGGACACAGGAGCCCCATGCCCTCCTACAAGCCGTTTATTACACCTTCAAAGGCAATAAGAATCCTATTAAGTTCAATGTGATCCAGAGAAACCCCCAGATCTTTAAGGTTTGTTTTGTTTTATTTTTTAGGAACTAAAACTGTAGTTCCAAGGGCCTCATTACTCTTTCTGGTCTAAACTGAACCCATAACTCCATGGATAACTTGGCACACACATAACATGCGCAATGAACTGAGGCAGCCCTGAGGGTTAGCCACACTGGGGACAGGAGGGCCGTGGTAGAGCAAATACAAATGCAGGAAAGGGATTTCCCACTTTAATTGGTTCTCGTTTGTCCTGTCTGCTCTGAGATACGCATTTCCCCTCTACATTTTAACAGCCCTGGAATTGAAATGTGGTTTAAAATCATAGTATCAGCCCACACCCTGATAGTACGTCTCGCAATAGGGGCACCAAAGATGCCCACCCACGAGGAAGCCATGACTAGGACTGCACGTGACTGGCTGCTCCACCCACTCCTGGTCCCTATTCTCAAGGGAGATGTGCACTTTCCTTTCCAGAAGTAAGTAGTGGGGGTGGGGTGACAAGCAGCGGTTTCAGTCTGACAGCGGTATAAGAACACTGTTTATTTTACTAACATCTTGATTAAGTTAAATGTCAGAAAAGCTCTCCACTGAGACAGTGGGCAAAGAGCTCAACAGCGGGGGTTGGTTAATTCTCCAGTTTCGGGGAAGTCTGAGAATTATCAGAGCACAGCAAGACCTTGCTGTTCACAGCAGGGAGTTGCAGACACTCTGGAGGTAGGGATAGTAAATCCAAGTGGAGGGGTCATGTTTAAAGGGCAGAACTTCCCAGAGCCCCTCCCCTCCAAAAAAAAAAAAAAAAAAGAAAAGAAAAGAAAAAGAAAACCCCAAAAAACCAATATGACATTAAGTAAGATAGAGTGCAATATATTCTAAACGCCCACAGAAAAAACTCCAGTGCGTCTTTGGCAAAATAAAACAAAGTAAAAATTAGGCCGTGCTCCAAAGGGAGCTACTACTTGAAAAGCACTGCCATGTTAGCTTCCCATTCCTGTGGTAAAACACCAAGACCAAAAAAACAACTGGGAGCAACAGACTAAGTTCTCTCCCACTCCCACACGGAAGCCTGTCATTGAAGAGAGGAGCGTGCTTAGCCTGCTTTTTATACAATCCAGGACCACCTGCCGGCCCCCCACCCCCCACAGTGACCTGGGTCCTCCCACATTAACCGCCATGGTCAAGACAATGCCCCCCACAGACTTGCCTACAGGCATTTTCTTAGTTGAAAATTCCCGGCCCCAAATGACTCTGGCTTGTGTGATGATGTCAAGCCAGCCAGCACCAAGTGCACAGACGGGTTTCTTGCTTCCAACACCCCATGAAAAGGCTAGGGTCAGCCCTTCTGCCACGCTGGTCAATACGCTATTTATTTCATTTTATGTTTCTGATCTAAAACATGAGTGAAGTACAGGAACACAACAACTCAGCATGTGAACGTCATATTTATAGGCGATAGACAAAATAGTCACCACTGCCAGGTGCATAGGAGCACACAGGATTCTGTCCGACCAGGAACGCTCCAGAGGGCAGAGTACAGGCTTCATTCTATGCAAATGCGGGGGGGGGGGGTTCTGACTTCCTAAAGCTAAAGCTCTCTGTAGACTGCAGTCATTGCCCCAGATGAAGTGCTCAGCCACAATGTCACCACAGGCAGTGGGTGGGATGGTTAACTGTCCGTCTCGATGCCGAGCAGGGTGGGTGCCCGCTACATGTGCCAGCCACTCACACTTCCCTGCTTCCCATATCTGGGAGGCCCCTTCTTAGGAAAAGGGAAGAAGACACGTTTGGATACGTTGTGTAGACCGCAGAGGTTTGGCAAAGGGCAGGTGTTCTCACCAGTCCTAATGAATTCCCGTTCCCACCTGGGATGGAAACGGGATTGCATTCAGGCCAGAATTTTGAGACAAGATCAGGACATCACATGATGAGGCCGGCAAGCAGAGGCAGAACTGAAGTAGGATGGGGACGGCGGGCCTACCTACAATCTCAACACACAGAGGCGGGGGCAGGAGGACCAGGGGTTCCAGCCCAGCCTTGGCTAAAGATTCCATCTCAAGCAAGAAGAGATACAATGTTGCCTTCATGTAAAGACTGACTGTGGCCTTGAGAACCCAGGAAAGTGACAAGTTCAGCTTGGGGTAGGGTACAGACTTCTTCCCTTTACATACTTCTTCCTCTTCTTGTCACTTTTGGGAAGATATTTCTTTTCTTTCAAGAATCAGAATAAAAGAAGGAAAAAAAAAAACTTGGAAAGAAATGGTTTTCCAGAGAAAGAGAGAGAGACATAACCCTTACAATTTTACTTCAGCGTTTCCTGTCTTTCCAAATGAGGGTTTAAGAATTTGGAAAGGGTTCCTAATTTGAAATTAATGGGACATGTTCCGTACCTAAGTGAGCAAATGGCACTGGGCAGGGCCTCAGCGGGCTGCATACCTTCAACACTACATCTTAGCAACTGCTCTCGGCCCATATGTTTTGTTTTAAAATCAAGTTGTTCCAGCTCCAAATAGTTAAGAGACAAGAGCCAAACCCTAGAGACAGGCACGCAGCACATGAAGCTGTTTCCCCTTCCCACTTCCTGAAGGAAAGGTGCCCAGAAACCCCACACTGACCTCGCTCTGAAACCCGCAGAGACTGCTGCAAAGGGATGCTGGGAACCCTTAGTGGCAAAACCAAAACTGACACTCGTCCCACGCGGCAGAGCATGCAAATGCGTGGCGGAAACGTCTGTCCGTCAAACTGCTCAAGTCGTAAAGTGAGTAATGATACTTTTGTCAAAATTCGCTGAATGCAAATATGAGCTAAGATACTATTTTCATTTCTGTTTGTGGTGCTGGAGCCAACTTTGGCCTCTTACACAGCCAAGCAGGTGTCCTTCACTAAGCTATACTCTCAGCCCCAAGGTAGTAGATGTTTTAATTTCCATGCATGTATCCAAAGAATCTGTACCGTATCCCCCTCCAACTACCCCCCTCTTTCTCTCCCAAGGCGGACCCCACATGTGTCTCTTCCATCCCCATGTTCTCTCTTTTGCTTTCATTAATAACTCACTGAGTCCCGTTACAGCTGTGTGAATGAATGTGGATCATACTCCCAAAGAAAAATGACTCCTAACTAGCAGGCTTCAATTGCCAATAGCTCCTAGAGGGGCATGAGCCCCTCCCTCATCCATGCAGAAATTACTGGACCGCCATGATCTTGTGCAAGTCTTATGCAGGTAAGCGCAGCTGCTCTGAGTTCCTGAGTTCCAATGGCCATGTGTAGAGTACAGCATTTCACGTTACTCCACCCATCTTCAAGCTCGTGTAATCTCTCTGTTGCCTCTTGCATGGTGGTCCCTGAGTCTTCGGCAGATTGACAGAGATGCCCTGTTTAAAGCTGAGCATTTATTCTCAAACAGTCACGTAGTCTCAGCATTTGACCAGTTATAATACTTTACACTGACTATTGCCTGCTACAAAAAACGTAGCTTCCCGATGACCAAGGCTTCAAGTAACACTAACCTATGGGTACAAACATATATACTTAGAAGGAAGTTTAGTAACACATATCTGTCTGCCAGAACTACAGTAGCATGTTGCCTCCAAAGACCTACGACTGACCACCTCATCCACAGGCTTTTGTTCAGCCATGAATTCTCTCCATGGAGCAGGCCTCAAATCTAATCAGTAAGCAGTTGGTTACTTCTATAATAGTCATGTCACTATTGCACCTGTGGGCACATTTTTTCTGCAAGGTTGGAATTGTAGCATGCAGGACTCACCACTAGGAAAGGCCATTCATGACTCTTCTGTCCCAACAGCCCGCATAATACCCTTTGTCACTGTGAAAGCTATGCAGTAAGAAAGAGATTCCAGGCCAGTTCCAGCTTTTGATCTCTCTGTCCTGCAACCAACGCCATCCTGTGTCATCAGTAATGGGGTCTTACCACTAAAAAAAAAATGGGTTTTGTTTTATTGAGTTTACTTTTGTTTTGTTGTTTGTTTGTTTTGTTTTTCAGACAGACCTTGCCGTGTATACCTGGCTGACCTGGAACTTGTCTTGTAGACTATGCTGGCCTTGAACTCACAAAGATCTGACTGCCTCTGCCTCCAAAGTACTGAAATTAAGGGTATTTGCTACCATTTCTGGCCCCGAGATTCTGTTTCTAATGTAAATTCAAGAAAGCAATACTAACAAAGTGGTTGGTACTAACCAGGGATCACCTGAAAAGCAACTAGTTCAAACTGAGGTATGGAGGCCAGTGCTAAATGTACACCAGGTTTGAAGATATGATAGGAATAAAAAAAATATAAAATCCCACTAATGGCTGTTTTGTTATTTACTCTATGTGGAAATGTTATTATTTTAGATCTACTTGGCAAATATAAACTTACGATTAATTTT